GACAATCCTTCCCAGCCCTCCGCTGGGTCTTCGAAACATGAAACCACTCTACCAAGAACATAATTCGTCGAACCTCGCCACTCAATCCGTGGCATTCCCGGCATAGCCAACATTGCTGCCTTAGCGCAATAGTCTAGAATAACACAACACGAAGACAACCAGTCTATACCCAATATTACATCCAAGATCTAACATACCAAGTAGCAAATGATCAACTCGGGTCTCCAAACCCCGATAGTCACTACACAGTGCCGATAGACACGACCCGTAACCATAACATAGCCTGAATATGAGAACTCCAATCTCCAAGTCCATAACGCACATGAATTACCATATCTGATCCCAATTTCGCCGCTCCAATATACAACCCACCTCTAATACTCAATCATCCCCCGATAGGTACACCTATAATTCTTCTGTGCCACCTAGCGAACTCGCATATCATCGGTCGATAATACAAGATAGTGCCGCAATATCAATAAAGCATCCCAAACTCAAAACATCGCCCTTTCTGAAATGTACACCCTCATCAAGCCACATAATCAGCAGTACCTTTTTCTTAATCATCTGAAACTGCCCGTGCTGCCTAAGAATTTTTTTTTATGACCTTCCCTTCAGAATTGAACCGCAACCTTGCACACGTAGTCTCAATCCTCCACTCACACTGCATATACCATACCGTCCTAGGATAACATGAGAACTTCATATCCCTTCCGAACCACAAGCAACTATGTACTCAACCAACCAAGAACTGACCATTGATCCCATTCTAGAAGAGAATCACTATACATCCCAAGCTCATCATGCCAGCAGAAAATATACATCTCTAGCCACGGTAGAAAACAACAAGAACTCTCCGACTCCCCTTTGCACAAACAAGCCTGTCAGGACCGAATCCTCCTAGCTCAACCAACCTACGCAGGCCAGTAAAACCCCAAGAGCATCACCGAGAAATACCTGAAGAAACTCATTACCTCGTAAACACCCTAAGAACTAATCATATCCTTACCATACCGATCTGGCCTACTACCAAGCTATCCCATCTATCCGAGCTCCCTTCTTATTTACCTCCACTTGATACTCCTTCTTGCTATAACATCACAATTCCTCAATCCAGACTCACCATACGAGACCCAAGCATGAAACCACACCGTCTAAGGCTCATAAGCCGCTGAATACTCTCTTAAATATTCCCAAAAGCATCACATTCAAAATACATTACTCTGAGGAGACTTCCTGCGAATCTAAATCCGTTACCTTTGCCTTCTTGATACTGATACATAGAATCCCATAATCTATATAGAAAATACCACAAGTCTTGACATCTTCCAATGAAAACTCAGTTTCTAATCACATATACAACCTCAAAAATACCCAATTGTTATATGTAGAATCTTGAATACATTAGAACCATTCTCGAGAGTAATCCACTCTACTCAAACTCCAATTAGCCCGATCAAAAGAACCGAACAACTTGCGCCTCATTAGTACCTCTGACACTGCAGCATATAACCTTACCTTGATGCAACCAAGCCACTTTCCTTTCCTATGCACTGAAAATTCTTTATCAACAACAACTCAAGACATTCCATGATTCTCACACACCTGTGAAGCACCCCATAACCTTTGTTGAGAATTTTCCTTTACTCGAGCCATAACTGATTCACAAATACGCCTCGAACTGGAACCATTATAGCACAAAACCGCGCAATCAACTATTCAATAGCAAGCTCCCCCACTTGGCTCGAAGCCATAGATCAAGACACACACCATAACTCATAACGCGTATACTTTATTGCTACCATAATACCATAGTAAGATTAACTCCATCCTTCATAAGCTCGTGGAACACAGACCATCTGGTACTTCATATCTTCTGCAAATATCGCATTTACTCTCGTAGCAATTAGACCCACTCTCTTGAGCGACCCAAATTAAATTCACACATATATTTCACTTGAAAATGGGATATTCTAACCGACAACATAAGGATCACACAACTCCAGAACACTTCGCAGGAGATAACCCGCTTGCTTCGCCTTAAACTAACATTTATATATATACCTTCCACCATCATAACCATTACGCAGTCACTTAGTCCTCCTGAGTATAAACTCATACCGTAACATGAAATTTACTTCACTTCCAACTAGGAAACATGAAAAGATTCTTCACATGCCCATAACTCGGGGCTATACCTCGAATCAAGATGGAAATCAAGCACCTAATAGTTCTTCTATCCTCCAACAAACCTTTCTCGTCGCTTTCAAATCATATGAATACATCTCGCAGTCACATCATACTCGTCACGTACTAACCAGTCATTACTTCCCTTAATAGGGGCACAACAGCACATATAGATCCAGAAACACGTGCTCACGTACGCAACCGCTCAGGGCTCAAGCTATAGGTAACAATCCGGCCTCAAGTCTTTCTAGACTGGCCCAACATCAACACACCGAGATCACACCTCGCCCCTCGATCAGGGAATCACAATCCATCGATGCAAACCTGAAATTGAGCGCTCATGTGCGCATACGAACGCATGGAAGGAATTCAAAGAGTTACATTCCAAGCTGAATCGAAGACGCACGATAAGAATTCAAGAATGTGAAGTTTTTCCTAAAGGTTCTGCAGCCTCCCGAGGATAAATACAGACGTCTCCGTACCGATCCGCGAGACTCTACTAAACCTGCTCATGACTCGTGAGACCTATGTAACCTACGCTCTGATACCAACTTGTCACGACCCTAAACCAGACCCGGTCGTGATGGCGCCTCTCGTGAAGACAAGGCCAGCCGACACATTTCCAATTCGAAGTTAAACAGCTAAACAACAATACAATAGGCTAAAACATGATTTAATAATGCTAAACAACGGATAATATCATAACAAGGCGGAAGTACAACCCAAACATAGCCCAAACTGGGGTGTCACTAGTCATGTGCATCTACTAAGTCTAAATACAACTGACAAAGTCTGAAATGTACTCAGTACATTCTAATAAAATGAAGAGAGAGAAAGCAGTACTGCGAACGCCGGCAGCTACCTTGCTAACTCCACTGACATCTGCCACCAAGCGCAGAAAAATACCTGAATCTGCACACAAGGTGCAGGGAGTAAAATGAGTACTACCAACTCAGTGAGTAATAATCATAAATAAAGACTGAGTGATATGAAATCACGAAAAGAGCATCAACATGCTGTATAGAACAATTTCAAAAACCAGTAAGAAAGCAATGAAGCTGTAAAATCCTTTAAAACATCTTAGCTCAGTTTAAACTCTTTCGAAAAGGACATTTTCAACAATCACGCAAATGAATGCAGAACAACTAGTGCAGATAGGCACAGAAATCCGCCCCTCGGGCACAAATACACAATCCCTTTCGTAGCTTAAAACTTCAATTTAAATGAAAGATTATTTAAAACGTTTGTTCAACATTTTCAATAGAGGCTCGGTCTAAAGATGAGTGAAAACAGTAATTAAATCACCATGTTCAACGGAAACTCACTTTAAAGAGGAGTCAAAACAATAAATTCATAACTAGCCCCTCAGGCAACATCACTCCTGTACATGTATATATCTAAGGCTTGAATCCGAAGTGTTTTGGTTGATTTAGTGTTGTTTGAAGCATTTTGATGATTGGAACAAGATTGAATGAGGTATTAGAATATGTTTGTGCTTTTGGTTGAGGTCCCGGGGGCCTCGGGGTGATTTCAGAATGATTTTGGAGAGGTTGGAATTTTGTTGCAGCAGCTGATATTGCTGCTTCTGGTATTTCCGCATCTGCGGATTGGGGACCGCAGATACGGCGCATCATGTGCGGAGTCTTGGTCGCAGAAGCGAAAGCTGGGAGGTTGGCACGAACCGTAGAAGCGGTTGTGGGACCGCATCTGCGAAGGCGCAGATGCGGCTGCTTCATCGCTGATGTAGATTGGGCAGTTAAGTGAGGAACCGCAGAAGCGGCACCGCAGATGCGGTGGATTGACCGCATATGCGAAAATGCCTGGGTCAGAACGCATATATTTCACCCTTCGCGATTTTGAAAGGGTTTTCACTATATTTCATCCGGGAGAAAGCTTGGGAGAGCTAATTGAAGAGGGAATTAGCTCTCTGGGAGAAAGCTTGAGAGGGTTTTCTCCCAAGCTTTCTCCCGGATGAAATATGGTGAAAACCCTCTCAAAATCGCGAAGGGTGAAATATATGCATTCTGACCCAGGCATTTTTGCATCTGCGGTCAATCCACCGCATCTGCGGTGCCGCTTTTGCGGTCCAAGAGCCGCTTCTGCGGTTCTTCACTTAACTGCCCAATCCGCATCTGCGATGAAGCAGCCGCATCTGCGCCTTCACATATGCGGTCCCACAACCGCTTCTGCGGTTCGTGCCAACCTCCCAGCTTTCGCTTCTGCGACCAAGACTCCGCACATGCGGTGCCGCATCTGCGGTCCCCAATCCGCAGATGCGGAAATACCAGAAGCAGCAATATCAGCTGCTGCAACAAAATTCCAACCTCTCCGAAATCATTCCGAAATCACCCCGAGGCCCCCAGGACCTTAACCAAAAGCACAAACATATTCTAATACCTCATTCAAATTCCAATCATCAAAACGCTTCAAACAACAGTAAATCAACCAAAACACTTCGGATTCAAGCCTTAGTTTCTAATATCTACCAAATTCTGCTTTTGATCAAAATCCAACCAATACACGTTTGAATGACCTGAAATTTTGCACACACATCTCAAATTACATAACGAAGCTACTGCAACTCTCGAAATTTCATTCCAACCTCTATATCAAAATCTCACCTATCAACCGGAAAACGCCGAAATCTTAATTTCGCCAATTCAAGCCTAGACCTTCCACGGACTTCCAAAATGTATTCTAATCACGCTCTTAAGTCCCAAATCACCTAACGGAGCTAACCAAATTATAAAATTTTCGATCCGAGATCATATACAAACAAATCAAATATTGGTCAAACCTTTCAAATTTCAAGCTTCAAACTGGGAACTGTTCTTCCAAATTCATTCCGATTAACCTGAAACCAAAACCAACGATTTACATGAGTCGTAATACACCACACGGGGCAAGTCATGCCCGAGAACCGGCGAGTAAAATGCAAAAGCTCAAAACGACCGATCGGATCGTTACAGTTAATCAATTAACTTTTAATGCTTGATCAGCAAACTAACATTAATGACTATTTTGTATAATTCTATCTGCAAGAGCATAGTTCTAGTACATATTTTTCAACATCTTTACTTGAACAAATGAAATCCTCCTGAAAGAGTAGCATATTATGTTAATTTCCTGGTGTACTTCATTGTACCTCATCTCATGAATATCCTTTCTTCTTCTCTTCCTTCAGGCTTAACCTGGCATTTGCAATAATACATCTTTGATCGATACTTAGATTTAGTGGCAAGTTACTCTTTAAAAAAAGGCTTGCTACTTGCACAGAAAGGATAATTTAATAATTGCCTTCAAGTATTATAATATTTTTGTGATCAAAGGAAATCATTACTGTAAGCATGAGTTTGACCTAAAATTACCTAAAATGCAACAGTAAAAATCTCTTATTTTAACGTGCCGTCAAATGAAAAAGTTATGCGAAGAACCAGAGTGTCACTTAGAAAACAAAAACTATCAAAGTCTAACTTCAGGCAGACCCATCGAAATTCCTGACTAATACTGTTTAATTCATTATAGCGCAATTAGATCATGTATCACACATGGTATGTTAGCCACCAAAAAGCATAAGAAAAACGAAATAAGGTAGAATAAGATATTTAGATGTAGGAGTGAATAGATATAGTCATAACTTTTCGCAACATCTTGGGGAGCAGGTGAATAACGACATACATGTATATCTAACAACAAGTGACTCAGAGTAATTCTAGAATAAAAAGAAGTAAATTCATAGCTTGAATGAAACTCTGCCATATATAGATATATATTCCACAACACCCATACCATTAAGAGTTCCATTAGCAATTGTAATAAAATTTCTACCTTCCTTTAAAAATAGTTTCAGGAGAAACTATTACGTCGATAAGCTACTTGTATCCTACTGCTAAAATATGACTCGCTGCCAAAGATACTGGAGCGAAATCCTTAAGTCGAATTCGCTTATGAAAAATCCAATAGCATAATGAAAAAGAAAGCACATATAAAAGCCTCTTACTTGCTCTAAGCCAGGCGAATGTCAATGGACATCCATCCATCTAACAAAGCATCTCTGAATATCGTGACCAACATAATGATGGATCCACTTGCAATGCAACTTATCGACCTAAAAATAATCATAAAATTTAGATAGTCTAATAGGTATAGCCTCAATATTATATAGTTATTTCGTGTTTCCTCTTTGAACAGCCACTGGACATGTCTTCATTTACATATTTTTGCCGAGAAATGCCTTTATATTTATAGAATTATAAAAAAACTGCAGTGCTATAAATATTATCGCAACAGCGGGAAGGAAATCAAAATCTAGACAAAAATAAAAATTGCAGAAAAGTAGAAAAATATCCCAATAGAAATAGGTACAATGACCTGTAAGCAATGCCTCCAATAATGCAATAGCAGACTAATCATTAAGATTTCAAGAGTACAATCAGCTAGACAATTTTACCTGCAAACAAGCAAAGTGTAAGGCAAAAAGCATGACTAAGTATCTACGAAGTGAAATGGCTCTAAACGCTGTTTCATTTACAAAAATTAGGAGACACAGTAAAGCCATTATTTACATAAAGCATTACATAAGGAAAAATGAGATCTGGTGAGATCTTTTAGCATTTTTGGAAAGTCGTCTGTGATGTCTTTGGCAGAACAATAGATTACCTAGTACTTGCAATCCTATATGCCTTTTGACCACCTATATGCCTTTTGACCACATTTTTCGTGTGATGACCCGGCCCGTCGTCACGTGAGTTACCGCCCCGTTTTCCCCATATTATGTTTCTCCATGCTTCATTATCGGTATTTGAGGTGATCGAGTTGAATTGGATTGGTTTTAGATGGAAATGAGACACTTAGTCTCTTTAAGGAAAGCTTGTTTTGGAAAGGTCAACCGAAAGTTGACTATTGAGTTAGAGGGCTCGGATGTGATTTCCGGTGATTCGGTTAGCTTCGGGGGATGATTTGTGACTTAAGAGCGTGATCGAAAGTGATTTTGGAGGTCCGGTGTGGAATTAGGCTTGAATTGGCGAAGTTTGTATTTTTGCGAATTCTGGTTGGTGGGTGAGATTTTGATCCGGGGGTCGGAATGGAATTCCGAGAGTTGCAGTGGTTCCGTTAGGTGATTTTGGATGTGTGTGCAAAATTTCAGATGATTCGGAGGTGTTTTGGTTGGGTTTTTGATCGAATGTGAGTTTCGGAAGAATTTGAAGAACTTAGGCTTGAAATTGATGAGAAATGAGGATTTTTGTGTTGTTGGATGTGTTTTAAGATTTGGAACAAGTTTGAATAGGGTATTGGATCATGTATGTGCTTTTGGTTGAGGTCCCGGGGGCCTCGGGGTGAGTTCGGATGGTTAAACGGGAGTTTTGGGAGTTTGCATATAGCTGAAGATCTGCTGCATCTGGTATTCTCGCTTCTGCGGGTCTTGGACCGCAGAAGCGGAGGCGCTTAAGCGGGGGAGTCACCGCAGAAGCGGTCCATGGGTTGGTAAGGTAGATCCGCAGAAGCGGACCATTCTTCGCATCAGCGGGTCCGTAGAAGCGGACCGGTAGTCGCCGAAGCGGTGTTGACCTTGAGAGGAAGTTCCGCAGAAGCGAAAATATAGCCGCAGAAGTGGTTTGGCATTTTCAAATGAATATCCGCAGAAGCGTGATTTTGGCCGCAGAAGCGGTCCCGCATAAGCGGAAGCGGGACCGCAGAAGCGAAAACTGGACTGGTTAGAAGGGTTTTATTGAATATTTCATCCGCGAGCTTGGGATATTTTCCACCATTGTTGGGCGACCTTGAGAGCTTTTGGCGAGAATTTAAGGGAGTTTTGACTGGGAATCGATTGGAGGTAAGTCTCTTAGTCTAAATACATGAGATTATGATATATTTAACATAGAAATTAGTGGAAATTCATCAAAAAGGGGGTAAGTTAGGGCTTGAGAAATTATAAGTTAAAAATGGAATTTGGGAGGTCAAATGGACTCCGATTTTGATAAATTTGATATGCATGGACTCGTGGCGAGACGAGGAATCCGATGATGTAAATTTTATAATTTTTCGAGAAGTGGGCCCGAGGCTCGGGTTTTGCCAACTTCGTGATTTTCGATATTTTTCGAGTCTTTTCGAGTGAGTTATATCCCCTTAGCCTATGGTAATGTATTCCTTGTGGTCTTGATCAGATTTAACGCGCGAGGAGGTCAATTCGAGAGGAAAAGGCATAGCGAGCTAGACTTTGGGCCGGCTTGAGGTGAGTAATAGGTGTAAATGATGAACTGAGGGTTTGAGACCCCGGAATTTCACATCGTACAGCTATATTGAGGCGAGGCACACGCTCTATGACGAGTACGGGGCTGTTGGTTATTGGGGATTGTGACTTGGTCCGACCCGGTGATGTTTTACTGTGTTTTTCTACTAGAACTTGTTAGAAATCATCGTTATTTGGATTTGACTGTTGTATTTGGGCTTCGTGCCGGTTATTTGGATCCTTCAGGGATTGATTTCACTGATTTGGATACTTTGCACATTGTTTAACCTCATTACAAGGTTTTAAGTACTATTTTTACAAACCCATCCCCTTTTTCTAAACTTGAAAATTCAAATGATATTTTAAATGATATTTTGGGCTGTGGATTACTGATTTAAAAGTGCCCGAGGGGCTTAATGTGATTTTCTGGATTTATGGATGGCTCGGGCTGCACGCCGCAGCAGTACTATGTGATATTGAGCCGAGGGCCTGGTTGGTGCCACGAGATGGCTTATTTGCGCTTGGGCTGTAGGAGCCCCTCCGGAGTCTGTACACCCCCCAGTGAGCGCAGTCGACGTAAAATATATGGTTGGCTCGGACTGCACGCCGCAGTGGGCACCTGAGCGTACCGGTATTTGCATTGCATTGCATCATTGCATCATTCCTTACCTGTTACCTGTCATGGTTCTTTCTGTAATACTACTTTATTGACTTGCCGGTCTCACTGTTAAAGGTTTGGTACTGCCGTTATAGTTGCCTTGTGTTTTTTTGTGATTTCTTATCTTCAGTTATTATTTATGCTTATTACTAATTGAGTCGGAGTACTCACTTTACTCCCTGCACCTTGTGTGCAGATTTAGGTGCATCGCAGTCTGAGGGAGGACATGTCTAGCTGAGCAGCATTTCACCTGGAGCATCGAGGTAGCTGCATGGCGTTCGCAGCCTTGATCCTTCCCTCTTATCCCTATCTTTCATTATTCCGTTTCTTAGACAGTCTTGTTATAGGATGACACTCTGTATTAGAGGCTCGTGATCGTGATACCGGATCCTGTTTTGGGTTATGTTCTAGTATTTTTTGTTGGTTTTCAGTATACTACTCCGTGCTTATAGTAGTTTGATAAGATGGTTTGGTAATTTAGCATCTGTGTTCGAATTTCTGAATTATCATAAGTTGAGATTTGTTGTTGAATGGTCGGGCTTGCTTAACAATGTGTTGGGCGCCATCACGACCGGGGTTTGGGTCGTGACAAGTTGGTATCAGAGCCTAGGTTACTTGGTCTCGCGAATCATGAGCCGGTTTAGTAGAGTCTCGCGGATCGGTACGGAGACGTCTGTATTTATCCTCGAGAACGTTTAGGAAAAACTTCATATTCTTGAAATTCTTGTCGTGCGACTTTGTTGATCCGAGAACTAAACTTCTGTACTCTATTCTCTCGCAGATGGCGAGAACCCGTGCTACCGGACGTGGCGGACGACCACCTGTACCACCCACTAGAGGCCGTGGACGCGGTCGTGGTCGTGGTCGAGGCAGACCAGCGAGGGCAGTACCTGTAGATCCACCAGCTGCCCCGGTTCAGGACCAACCTCCAGTTGTAGATGCTCCAGCAGCACCTGTGCAGGCACCAACAGTGCCTATTGTGATTCCTGGCCTCCAGGAGGCTTTGGCTCAGATATTATCCGTTTGCACTGGCCTGGCTCACGCAGTCTCAGCCACTACTGCAACAGCTACCTCACAGACCGCGGGAGGTCATCAGACCCCCGCTGCTCGCACACCGGAGCAGGTTGTTCAGGGATTGCAGACACCAGGAGCAGCCCCAGTTGCACCAGTTGCACCAGTTGCCCCAGTTGCACCAGTTGCACCAGCTCCCGACTATGTGGTTCCAGCTATGCCAGACGATGAGCAGCGTCGTCTTGAGAGGTTTGGTAGGCTCCAGCCTCCGGTGTTCAGTGGTGCTGAGGGCGAGGATGCCCAGGGTTTCCTTGACAAGTGTCAGCGTATGCTTCGCACCGCAGGGATCTTGGAGTCGAGTGGGGTGGCTTTTACTACTTTCCAGTTCTCAGGGGCTGCATTTACATGGTGGGAGGATTTGGAGAGGCGTAGGCCTGTTGGTGCAGCGCCCCTTACATGGCAGCAGTTCTCCACTCTCTTTCTGGAGAAGTACGTACCGCAGTCTCGCAGGGAGGAGCTGCGTCGTCAGTTCGAGTGGTTGACTCAGGGGGACATGTCTATGACTCAGTATGAGATGAGGTTTTCTCAGCTAGCTCGTCATGCTACTTGGATGATCCTGACTGATCGGGAGAGGATTAAGAGGTTCGTGGATGGCCTCAACTATTCACTCCGTATTTTCATGACCAGAGAGAGGGTTTTGGGTGCCTCGTTCGAGGAGGTAGTTGGCATTGCTCGTGATATTGAGGCGATTCGCAGCAGGGAGCGTGAGGAGAGGGAGGCCAAGAGGCCTCGGAGTTCAGGCATTTTCAGTGGTGCTCCGTCTAGGGGCCAGTTCCAGCGTGGTAGAGGTCATTCCTTCAGGCCTCCTCAGTCAGCTCGCCCTGAGTATAGTGGGGCTTCTTCAGGCCGTGGTCATCAGGGATTTCAGCAGGGCCAACCTTCACTTAGTGCCCTTCCCGCACAGAGCTCTTCTCATGCCTCTTCAGCCCAGGGTTCTTCTGCAGCGAGGGGTTCCCTTCAGTCCCCTTTTCCAGCACCAAGAAGTTGCTACGAGTGCGGTGAGTTTGGCCATATGAAGAGGGAGTGTCCTCGACGTCGTGGTGGTCGGTTTCAGCAGAGGGATCAGCCCTCATCTTCTACTCCATCTACTTCAGCACCCTCCCAGTCAGATAGGGTAGGGGGCCAGGCAGCCAGGGGCCGCCCCAGGGGTGGAGGCCGATCTGGCGGTGGCCAAGCTCGATTCTATGCTCTCCCAGGCAGGAGGGACGCCATTGCATCAGATGCTGTTATCACAGGTATTATCTCAGTCTGCCTATGCCTCTGTCTTGTTTGATCCCGGATCTACCTATTCCTATGTGTCTTCATATTTTGCTCATCACCTGGGTACGACCCGTGGGTGTCTTGCTTTACATGTGCATGTATCTACCCCGGTGGGTGATACTATTGTTGTAGACCATGTGTATCGGTCTTGTCTAGTGACTATTGGGTGTCTGGAGACCCGAGTTGATTTGTTGCTGTTGAGCATGGTAGATTTTGATGTTATTCTGGGTAT